AAGTAGAGCTATCTGAAAAGGTATGAATATTCTTCCCACATTAATGACTCTGAAACCAGTTATCTGTAGAAAACATGACAGATTGAATTTCCACGGCTAATTAAGAACACATACAGGTTTGACATCTTTGGGACTCTGGCAGCAATGATTCTAATTTTGTGTCCCCTAACAGTTTACATTTGTGCACAATGAATATGACAGTGATAGCAGAATTGACTGATGATTTTGTTAAATACTGCCTTACAAGAGTGACATGGTCAGAGTAAAGGAGAAAGTATAAAAATTTAATCTCTCTAGACACATTATCTTACAGTTCTCTGTACACAGGTTGGCTCTAATAGATGAGCAATGGGCCACTACTTACTATATTATTACCGGTATTTTCTGGCTATTGGAAAAACAATAACAAATTCATTAGGTTTTTGTTTTGTTTCCAAAATTAATTCTTCCAGTTTATGACTGAAAATTTAGAACTCAGTAATTAGAGCAGGATACAACCCTCAAATCAACAAATCAATAATTAATCCAGGGTGGGTGGGTGAACTGGATAAAGGAGGTCACTTGTAAGATGATGGATGGAAATTTGACTTTGGTTGGTGATCAAGATATAATGTATAAAAACACTGAAATATAATGCTATACTTGAAAACTTACATCATGTTATAAGCCAATGTTTACAACATATATTTATATATAAAAGAATTATCCCTGAAGATCTAAGGTATAAAAATTTATTATCCAATAATGGTAGTATCATTACCCAATAATTAAAAAAAAATAAGTCATTTTACAAAAAACATTGGGAAACATATCAATGTGGAAAAAATTCAAATTCAGCACATGCCAAAATAACCCCATATAAACTGGAATGTAGAAACACATTTTAATCATGTTTTTGTGGGAATAAACATGAAATGTTAGTCCCATTTAACTAATCTCAGAAGTGAAAAGGACATTTTAAACATAAAACCAGTGGGAATATAGAGAAGCGAATTCGGAGTTTTTTAAAAATGTATTTTATCTCATATTTTCTCCCAGTATTTTAAAAAAGTATTAACTTGCTATAAGCAATGCTGTTGTGAAAGTTCTTATATACATACCTTTTCCAAAGATGTTTATATTAAATTCCTAGCAGTGAACTTCTAGGCCAAAGAATATATGTAGTTTAAATTTCAGCCTATATAGACTAAAATAGGAATATCAAATTATATTTCCACTAACAGTTCATAGGAATTGCTTATCTCTGTATCATCCCAGCTACACATACTATCAAAATTAAAAGGTTTTTGTCAGTCTGATCGGTAAAAAAATAGTTTCTTTGTGTACATTTATACCATTTTTTAAATTTAGTTCTTCAGGGTCCCTGGTAGCACAAGGGTTAAAGTTTAAGCGCAATTAAGCTTTTGTCAGCCACTGTGGCATGAGTTCAATTCCTGCCAGGAGTTCAAGTCCAGCCAGAGAGCTAACCCACAAGACACCACACACCTCTCCTATTTTATAAATTCTACTCCCCTCAGCAATATATTTCAGTAGATCTGCCTGTTTTGCTCCCCACTCTGTGTCTGTAACTCCTCTCAATTTTACCCCCAATCTCTGGCCTATACCCCAGTTGTTTGCATAAATAAATAAATATTTAAAGAAAAAAAACTTAGCTCTTTAATCCACTTACCAATATTTTAAAACTGGTATTAGCTAAGAATTTAATTTTTTCCCCTTTAAGAATAATGGGATATTCCAACAAAGGGATAACTAGATGTCCTAATAGTAGCTAGTGAACATCATCCTTTCCTCAACTGTTTGAAATGCCACATTCATCATATACTCCTCTTCACATTTATACATTGATCCATTTCTGGACCCTCTGTTCTATTCTACAGATTCATTTGCTCATTTCTCTGCTATTGCTGTCCTTTTAAAATATTCTGTACCTGTAGGGAAACCCAATACAAAAGGCCTTACTAGGTTGACTATTATCTTAATAGTCTTCTTTTTCAATAATATCTTAGTATTCTTATCCATTTTCTTTTCTGAATACATCTTAGAATCAACTTGTAATAAACTTTCAGGAATTTGGAATCAAATCTTGAAATTATAATAAACTTATAGATTAATTTGGGACAAATTAAGCTCATCTAGGAATGTGATATATTTTCCCACTTTTTTCATGATTTTTTATTTTGGTCAAGTTTCTTCATTTTCTTCATATAACTTTTAAACATTTCTTGCCAAATGAGTAAATTAATCACATTTCATTTAACAACTGTTGTTCTAGGTTCAGAGGCTACTGCAGTGACCAAGACAAGTTCCCTGATCTCATGGAGTCTGTACTCTAATCAGAGAGAGTCAATACACAAAAAAACTAACAAAAAGGTTAGTGAGAAGTACTCTGCAAAGAATTCAACTGGGGTTATATGATAGAAAGATATTAGTTACTTTAGCCTATATGGTTAGGAAAGTCCCTTCATATTTAAACTAAGATCTTAATACTAAGAATTCAGTTGTAAAGCTGATAGAAGTGGAAAGAGCATTCAAGAGCTAGGGAACAGCCAATACAAAAGGCCCCAATAGCTTGCCTTGTTCAAAGAACAGAAAGAAGGCTATTAAGGGAAAAGGGGAAGGGGAAAAAATCCTTATGAAATTATGTTAGACATTAAGGGACCAAAATGACCATGTAGATCTTGTAAAGGAGTTTGCACAAGATTTTAAATGTGATGGGATGTCACTAAATGTACTGAGTAGTAAGTCATTTATCTGATTAATGGTTTTGAAAGGTTAAGAATTGCAGAGAAGTGAAACTAAGTGAAAGAAATGTTTGTGAGGAGGCTAATGTAGTGGTCTAAGTAAGAGATAATAAGTGATTTGGACAGGGCTGGTGGCCTGGATGTAGTAAGAAGTAGTGGGATCAGTATGGATTTTGAAGATTTAGTCAAAAGGATTTGCCAATGAATTAGAATAACTGGAAATTGGGGGAGGGGCAGGAGAAAGGAGAAGGCAGGTAGTAAAAAAGAGGAATAAAACTATGTTTTTTGGTTTGAAGGCAGTAGATGGTGATGCTTACTAATATAGGTAAGACTGAGAGGTCAGAGATAGGGAGAAACCAAGAACTTATTTTTACCATGTTAAGGTGAAATACTCATTAGACCTCTGTGGAACTGTCAAGTGTGTGCTCAGGGCCTCAAATTTAGGGTAATGTTCAGGAAAATAGAGACAGATTTGGGAGTTATCAGCAGACAGTTTTAGAGCTATGGAGGCTCTACTATGGAAAAAAAAAAAAAAAAACTGAAGAGGCTAAGAAATGACAAATAGCGGAAGACAGTGAGCCCAGAATATTGAAAGGGGAGTTACCAGGGATCCGCAGGCGACAGCGCCTTTGAATAGTGGCAGCTGGTATTAACTTTAAAAGTCTATGTTTTTGAAGGAGGAAGGAAATGCTTTGAAGGCAAGTATCTTCATGGATAAGAATAGCTATGAAAGAAAAAAACCAACCTTTTGTATTCAAAAAGTTGCCAGGGACGTGTAGTTTTGCTCCAGTTTCCACTTGGAACAGGAAGTTAATGGGGATCATTTAGAGAAGGTGAGGGAAAAAAAGAGGAAATGGCTGATTACAGACGTTACACTATAAAGTGTGGAGTGAAACGGTTAGGATGGTTGGTGAAGAATGGGATACAGACCACATTAATTTAAGTTGAATGGCGCATAGAGATACTAATCAGGGTAATGGTGGATGACCTGGAGGTTAGTGGTTAAGACTGAGTGAAAAAGATTTATAAATACAAAAAATTAACTTTTGTAATCTGGGGTAATGGGGTGGAGTTTGAAAAACTGCTTAATGAAGATGGGGTTACACAAATTGTTTTTTGCAGGTCTTTGTACGGAAAGTGTTGGATTAGAGTTGCTAGTATTTCATTGAGGATTTTTGCATCGTTATAAAATATGGTCTATAGGTTTGTTTAGTTTTAACTGTAGGATCAGCTTTCAAAACAAGTTGGGGTTTTTCCAAGTATTTTTACACTCTGGAACCATCTGGTGTAGTGCATTTTGGCGCAAGGGATATTTTGACTACACTGATCTGGTTCTCTACAGTTGAGCTGGTTTAGCTTATTCATATTGCAGCAAGGGCTCTGTCTACTTGTATTCCCTGTATCTGCTCCTTGCATGAGTATCTTTTCTGTTCCCATTTTTGTACTAGGATAGCTCCTTTGAAAATCTCCAGGGCTTTACGGGAAGGGGAAGGGGGGAGTGGGAAGGACGGAGCACAGATCACAAACTGGAAAAGTGAACTTGAAAAAGAATCACTACAAGAACGTTCGCTGTTGAGACTTCACTAACCTGCCCACTCGGAGGCTTATTTTAATTCCGTGGACATCCGTGCTAAAGTTTGCGCGCTTAGATGGCAACCTGCTGGGCGAGGAGCAGGCACCACGAGCAAACTTAAACGAGCCCGGCAGTTTTCGTAAGCTATTTTCAAGTGAGATATCCGAAGGAGAAAATACTGTATCCCCAGTCGGGTAAATTCCACCCAGAGGCCGCTCACGAGAGCCACACTTTCCCAGTCCGTTCGCGATCAACCTTCCTGAGTGAGGTTTCCCGCCATTTCACTTCAGGGAATGCAAGGTCTTTCTCTGTAGATTCTCCACACTCGTGGGAGGCCCAGGCCCACACAGTTTCCCGCCAGGCGACGGCGAGAAGCTAGAGCAGTAGGCCGCGTTACAATACCGAGGACAGAGGAAAGAGGTGACAGCCCCAGCCTCTCGGCAAGCGCTCAGCATCCGCCGAAAACGCGAAAGGGTTTTCAACTGCGAAGCGAGGCGAATTGGGCAAGTGCGCTGGCCCAGCGCCCGCGCGGGGAGGAGGGAGCGCGGCCGTTGCTGGGAGGAGCGAGGGCTGGGCGGGGCGGGACCGGCTAGCTGTAACTCGACTCCCGATTGGTTGGGCCCAGGGAGCCGAGTGACGACAGCGGGGGAGAACGTCTGATTTGTGTGGTGGGCGCGGGCAGGCGAGGGAAACGCACTGCGCAGGCGCAGCTGCTTCGGCTCCTCTCGCCCTAGCGCTCCGGCCCAGCTCTCGCGGATAAGTCTCGACATCGCGCGCCCCCCCCCCGGGACAGCCCCCTCCCCCTTCGCGGCGGCGTAGAAGATAAACAATAGTTGGCCGGCGAGCACGGAGCGTGTCTCCCGCCGCGGGGTTCGGCGGGCTGCGTGGGACCGGCGGGATCCCGGCCAGCCGGCCATGGCGGGGCTGTACTCGCTGGGAGTGAGCGTCTTCTCCGACCAGGGTGGGAGGAAGTACATGGAGGACGTTACTCAAATCGTGGTGGAGCCCGAGCCGACGGCAGATGAAAAGCCCTCGCCGCGGCGATCTGTCGCTCAGCTGTCGCCTCCGCAGCCGCCACTGCCGGCTCCGGCTGGCACCGGAGTGTCGGGGAAGGGCCCGGCGGTGTTCGCCCGAGAAGCGCGAGACCATCCCCCGGACGCCGGGGCCTCGCCGGCCCCCGGTCGCTGCTGCCGTCGCCGTTCTTCTGTGGCATTTTTCGCGGTGTGCGACGGGCACGGCGGGCGGGAGGCGGCACAGTTTGCCCGGGAACATTTATGGGGTTTCATCAAGAAACAGAAGGGATTCACCTCGTCCGAGCCGGCGAAGGTTTGCGCTGCCATCCGCAAAGGTTTCCTGGCTTGTCACCTCGCCATGTGGAAGAAACTGGGTAAGTTTCCTAGCTTGTTTGGCTCCCGCTTCTTTTCCTGGCAGTTGAGGGCTTTTATGGCACCGGCATCGCGTGGGCCCCCGGCCAGGAGAGCGCGATCGAAGTGTGAAGTGTTGGGAAGTGAAGAGTCAGCCCGCTCTAACAGGCTTCCCAGTGTGGAGGTTCGTGCTAAGTGGCCGTGGTAAGCTCTCTATCTTCCTGCAGCCGCTTCTCTCTTTATTTCCGACCTCCAAGGATCAATGGGAAGCTGCCCTCTGCCCCTCGCGGCTTCCCTTTGATGACACCCAGCGAAAACGAGTTTGAAACCTGGCGCCAGATTTTGGCCAAAAGATGGAAGTGATTACACATTGCTACCTGGGCCACTCCAAGAAAGCGAGACAGGACACAAATTAGTGTCATCATTTGCACTTGAGCCACTTATCTCTACCGGGTACCTCCTACGGTGGCGTCAGGTCTCCAAATTGACTCCAGGTAGCTGGGAGTTGGAGAAAAGAGCAGGCTAATTTAGAAAGGCTGAAATGTTGTCTTCCAGCTACTTAACATTTTGGAAGGAATTCGGTTGTGATCTTAAGTGTTTTTAGGATCTTTGTGCTTGTGCTGTTTGTGAAAAATAAAAAATGAATATTTTGGTAGTCTCTTAAACTGGTCCCATGTCAGCGGTGTCTTAAATTCTGCTGGAGATTTTTAAAAAGTTTCACCGGGAGCTACCCTAGCTAGTTAATGACTGACAAATAGTTCTCAATTCTTAGTTGAAAATACTTACAATTTGCAACTGACCTTCGGAGCACCCAGAGATAAGGATTTACTGATATGCAAACGAGAGATAGAGACCTTAATTTAGAAATACTTGGTTTAGTTGTTAGTTTTACCTAAGCTTTAAAATACTTTCTGAAGCAATTCAGCATGCTATCTTACAAAGTTGTAAGTTGCTTATCCATTGCAGCGAATGAATGGCATGAATCTCTTTTAGAGAAGATACTGTCTCCATTATTTTTTTAAAATCCACTTGTTTATGGTATCATAATGTTTTATTTCAGCAGTGGAACAGAGACATCAGAGTTTAAAGATTGATAAAATATAGAACTTTTTAAAACGGTATTATCGAAGAGTTGTAGGCTAGCTTCTTTCAAAGTCTGTTTTCTATTTGCTTGACTTTCTGCCAAGAATTACTTGATTGACTCATAGAACAACCAGTCCTCCTGCGGAAGGCGTTTCCCATCCAATCCCAGAGGCCCCTATTATGGATTTGTTTTGTTTTTGTGTCGACATAGCCAAGCTGAAAGCAGTGCAGTTTGTTCCAAAAACGTCATTTCATCGCCTGCAGGTCAAACAGGTGTGGGCAGCAAGACAAAATAGAGAAAGATCCAAAGATCAGACCCAAAGAACTATTTAGAGTCTTGTTTAATTTGCAGTACACTTGGTGTAAAGTGAATTTGTACCAATTGAAAGGATAAAGAATAAACCCTGTTATTTGACTACTATTTCTTCTTCTTCTTTATTATTATTTTTTTTAAAACAGCGACTATGCTGTTAACCAAATGTGAATGTTTGGTTTTTTACATACAGGTGCTTTTTCAATCAACCTTTCGCTTTTCTGAGGCATGGTTTAGAGCCTTATATATCAAACAAATGTTAAAAGTTTGCTTTGTTTCACAACTAAACTTCATTCACCATTTTCAAAACTTGAATTAAAAAAAAGATATACAGAGTATATGAAAAATTTGACACAGTAGGTATATAGGTTTTTTTTTAAAAACCTGCTCTTCAGTTTCAAATTCGTGGATGGCTTCTCATTTTTATAAAATCAACTTTGCAATTTGTAATCTATAGATGAAGCCCCTCTTAGTCTGTCTTTAGAAACCCTGCTCATTTTTATGGTAACCCAAATTTCGATCACATTTAGTCTACTTACCTTTTTCTAGCATACATTAAAATACTGCAAGTTCTTGAATTGCCCTCCCCCCTCACCCCAAACTGAAAAATACACTCCTCTGTCTTAAAGTGTATATTTTCTTCTGTGCACACTTTTTTGAAATTAAGCCTCCTTTGTTCTGTTTATAGTGCTCACTGGGCTAGAGCAGTGTGCTGAAACTTTTTCCTCCCAGAATCATTTGTACTCTTAATAAGATTGAGGAGCCCAAAGAGCTTTTGTTAATATGGGCTACATTAGTCAATTGAAAAATACTTGTTGGTTATTTAAATAAAACAGGCTCACTATATGTTAATATTTGTAAATGAAAAATCACTTTTTTCTGAAATACTGCAAGAAAAAAGAAATTACATCTGCTCTGCATTCAGTCTTGTTCTGGGTGTAAGTATATAAAGAAAAGACGTTCATTCACATATGTAGTAGGAAAAGGGAGGAGTAGTTTAGTAGCCTTTTCAGATGATTTTGGATATTCTGTTACCAAACTAGTAGTTTTTTAGATCAGTCAAAATTGAATCTGAAATCTTATCAATGAATTTTTTTTTATTCTTATATTAAGATCCATTGGCCTCTTGCACTTTGAATCTTACCCAGTGAGATGTGTGACATGAGCACTTGAAAAATTGTTCACTGAGTCAGGCAGATTTTTCAAGTATGGATGTATTTTTTATGCACTATCAAAGCATCACATTTATTACTATCACTGATTTTATGAAAAAAGTTTTTTAAGATTGGGAAATTGTCAGGTACACTGTATTGGATATACACATTTCCCAAAATGGGAGTTTTTTTTAAAGCAGCAACTAGAAATTTATCACTGGCAAGAAATATTATCATATTTTGGTTGAAGCGAAGAGCTGTTCATTTTGAAGAAAATGTATGCTGTCTGGTCAAATATTAGTAACACAATTTATTAGTCTTCCAAGTAAAAATGATGGTCTGTTAAAAAATGTGTGTGACTTGTTCTTTTCATAATACAACCTGCTTTTTCTCTCAATAGCTGAAATATATAATAACTTAAGTCTATTGTGGGCATACTTCCCTTTTTTTCATGAGGAGTACTAAAGGGATCTGTATTCATGGGTAGAGATTTAATAAAATTTTTGTATTATCAAGTACATTCTTAAGTGAAACTGGTGTTTATTTTATTTTTTAAACTGTGAATATTTGTAGAGTGGCTACAGAGAATGACAACTGGTTCAGGTTATTGCCACTGCTTTGACTGCTACTAAGACAGTAGCAGTCTTTTTAACCATTGCTTTTGGACCATCAGTGAAAATGTGAACACAGAGAAAGGGGCAAATGAACTCTTAGAATGATTATGAAGGTAGTTTTGGTCTTGCGAAATTCCTAATAAGATAACATAGACCATTGAGAGATAATCGTAATGTTGACTTGCTTCTCAGCTAAATCTTGGTCGTTAGGGGCAAAAAATTACCTTATATGTAATATAATTAATCTCTTAGGGCTGACCATGGAATTCCTTGTCTAAAGTAGCCACTAGGTTAGTTGAATTTCTTTGGTTATAAAGATTAAATTGACAGCCCTCCCTGGTGGTGCAACAGGTTAGAATGCAGCACTGCAAGCCAGCTGCAGCCCTTCAGTGCAAGTTTGATCCCCTGCCCAGGAGGTGATCCACATGGTGAGGCAGACCTCTCCTGACCTGCCTGCTGCTGCCCTCAGCAGTGTGCTTTGTCAGTCAGCCTCTTCTGTTCCTCACTCTGTCTCTGGTGAATCCTCTCACCACCCTTAATCTCTGGCCTGTACCCCAGTCTGTATGCATGCATGTATGCATGCATAAACAAACAAAATCTTTTTAAAAAAGGTTAAATTGACTTTCTTATATATTTTTATAATTAAAAAAACTTCCCCCTTTTAAATGTTGATTAAAAATATGCATGGCGTAAAATTTACCATTTTATCCATTTTTATATGTATATTTTGGTCGCATTAATATAGTCACAATATTGTGCTCCCATCACCACTGTCCATTTTTAGAACTCGTTCACTATCCCAGACAGGAACTCTCTATTCTTTAAGCAATAAACTTGCCTTACTCTCTTTCTTAGCCTCTGGTAACTTCTGTTTTACTCTGTCACTGAACTCATTTATTCCGTGTAGAATAAAGTGTAGAAGTGGAATCACACAGTATTTATCCTTTTGTGTCTTATTTCCCGTAGCATACAGTCTTTAAGATTTATCCATGTTGTAGCATGTATCAGAATTTCCTCTTTTAAGGTGGTATTATCTATTATATATAGGTGTGCGTGTGTGTTTTGTGTGCCCTATTGACATTTGGACTGTTCGTACCTTTTTACTACTGTGAATACTGTTGCTATAAACTCATATATAGGTATATATATCTGTTAGAATCTATTGTCTGTGCTTTTGCTTATATGACTAACATTGATACAAAGCTTTCTTTAAAGTACAGTGTCCACTAATAAATGTTTTTATCAAGTATAGAAGGAATGATAGAAGTAGAAAATCAATTTGGCCCCATCTTGATTGATTCATCCAAGAAATATTAATGAATGCTAGTTAGTAGGTAAAAATGTGAAAAACCAAATTTTATTTCATTACACAAACTGGGTGGCTTAAAAAACACATTTTATTCTTTCATGGTTCTGGGGGGTTGGTTTCTTTTGAAGGCTCAGAAGGAGAATTTTTCCCATGTTCCCTTTTAGCTTCAAGTCGTTGCTATACTTTGTCTTTTTTTTTTTTTTTAACTTTTAGATGCATTATCCAATCTTCTCTGCCTTTCCTTCTCTACTCTCTAAGAACATTTGATTTTAGATTTAGGACCCACTGTAATCTGGGATAATCTCTTAAAATTCTTAACCTAATTACATCTAGAAAGATCCTTTTCCCAATTAAGGTCATATAGACTCTGGAAATATCTTTTATTTGGGGTGGGGATGGCACCATTCACATTATTATCTCCCTACAAAATATTTACTGATTACTAAAGGCAAAAGATTGTAGTGGAAAAACCTGGTAGATTGCACCTTAATTGAATGGAAAGGGTAGCATCACTTTTAATGGAATAAATTGAAGTTGTGTCCTACCAACA